AAATGAAATAAACAATGTGTTTAATAATTACAATGTAATATAGTATTTTCATCTTATCACAAAGTAGAGGTAAGAATATATCCACCCTCTCTCTGCAGCTTCATGTCTTCTATTATTATAACTTTCATCATTGAGACAGGAAATCAATCATATTATTTAACATCATCAGCAGTAAAACAAATATCAGCAAAAGTGTGTTTATGGAGTTGTTTATTTGTATTATATGTGCAGCGAGTAAATAGAAGCAGCTGTTTGGGGAATCAGACAGACTCGAGCTATAATCGTTACATATCTATTAAAAGAAAGGACACATACAAAATCTAATTCTGAAACTAAGACACAAGTCTGTAGGACGGCAGTGAGCAGAGGTCTGGGTGGAGGAGGGTCCTGATCGCCGGTTTGCTTTCTCCAGCACCTCGGGGTCCAGGTGGATGGCAGCTCTGTCCTGATGATCCGCTGTGCACTTTTCAGATTAGCAGCGACGTGCAGTCAGTGGAGGCAGGGGAGGCAGAGCCTCACCTGTCATACTCCAATGTAATGGAAAAACAATTAAAGAAAAACTAAATAATAATAATAATAAAATGTCTCCACTGATCTTGTGTAAATGTGATTTCTGTATGATTCCAATCGCATTTTATAGTCAAAATCAGCAAATTTGCCGAGCTCCGCTACGGGAGCGATAAGAAGTGAGGCAAGCACGAGCACTGCCTCACGTAAGCCCACAGTAACTTGCTGGAGCGCGGGCACTAATTTAGCGGGGCCACTTATTTTGTGAGCGCGCTCAAGCCATTTACTGTGGGGTGACGCATTCTGAGGGGAGGCACAGATGAGCTCTGCCTCAATTCAGAATGTGTCACCCCACAGAAACTGGCTGGAAAGCGGGCCCTAAGCGCATGCCTGTTCCAATCTCACTGTAGGTCACCAATGTGATGTTTGTAGATCCCTTTATTACATTTATCCTCGCCATCCATAGTCTCTAAATAACTTATTTCACGTATATATCATATTTAGGCTCGCTGGTCTTATCATACAACGGCAATGAAACAATTACATGGGGAGGCAGCCATAACCTCTGCCGCACTGAAGGGGGCGCACGTGAGCCCACAGGTTCTTGTTGCTACTGTTATTCTACCGCAAACAACAAACAAAACTTTTGAAACTACAGGAAGATACGGAGGACTTTTACAAAACAGTAATAGAGATTGTTGTCCAGAAGGATAGCATGGACTTATATTCATCTTCAAGTCAAGGTAAGACCACAACTGTAATTAAAATGGGATCTTACTTAGAAAGAACAATCCAATATTTAGATTTTGGGTATCCTTTTGTTGATCGGTCTGTTTAAAATTAATCATAGCATCAGACTAAAAAAGCTTTTGAAAATAACAGAATATTTCGATTAAGGTCAAAATAGGCTATAATATTTGTAAATCTGACTGAAAGAGTCAGTGCCTCACCAGCCATGAACCTCACCGCACGTCACTGCAGATTAGGGGTCCTTCTCCAGCAGATCCATTTCTCCAGAATTGTCCTAATTACAGAGAAAAACAAGAGAAAAAGAAAAAAGTGAATTAATCATATTGAACACAGGGTTGCAGAAGTATTATTGCAAAATTTAACTCTAAGCATTTCAGACAAACAATCCCTAAAGGATCATTCAAAATGATGTACTGTTCTGGTTTTTAAAAAACTAAAGAGATGAAGACAGTCACACGTGCACGGCACAAACTAACAACAAGCAAAAGGCTGCTGTCTATTTGTGATTGTCTTATTATTATGGGATTATGATACATTAAATAAACTTTAACCTAAATAAAAGATGATCAAATCTGGTGGAAATATTTAAAATAGGCTTTTCTTTTAGCCCTACCTCAAAGCAGCATGAGCTGAACACAAAGGTTGTAATGTTGTCCCAAAGTTTAATAAACAGTAAAACATTGCAACATGTCAGAGAAATAAATAAAGCTAACAGCAGCTACACGTCAGGGAAGCATTTTATAAATCCCACCGTACTGTAGGCTATACCGGTCTAAATGTTTTCACTTTGGTCTATTTATGTAATATACATTATAACTTATCTATAACAGAGCCTCTGTATGACTTTAGTAAACTTCTGAATTGAATTAAAAATAAGTGTAAACAACAGTGCAGTACGTCCAGCTAGCTAGTTAGCGTCACATATTTATCCGTATTATTTAACGAAAATGTACGTTTTAATGCCCCTTGGGTTTGACGTGTGTGACGTTAGTTAATTTAAAGTAAGTTAAAACCCAATACTCACATTTATTAGTGATTCCTCCGCTTGCTGCTGCTTTTAAATCCACTCTGCTGGGGAGACCGGAAGCCATTTCATTTGAAAACAACTCTGTGGGTGTTTCTCAATCGCGAGTACGCTTGCTTGGTAGCACATGTCTGCCGAGCATCTTGCTTCAGAAGCGAGTCAAGAATACTTCCTGACATTCGGAAAACAAAGAGTGGAACACGCTAGCAAGTGTGCAGGTGTGCGTCATATGAGAGGCCCCGCCTTACATCTTCCGCCACAGATTTGGGGAAATTGGTCCGTGCGCAAAGCATTGTGGGGATTTTAAGACCGCGAAGTCTACTCATGTGCACACTTGATATTTCTCCAAACGGAGTACGCCGGGCTCGGTAGATTTCCAAGTATACTGGAGATTGGAACAGTACTTCGGCGGCACTCGATGACGTAGTATGCTTGAAATAGTGGCTCTGAAGCAGCTTTACTCGCGATTGAGAAACACCCACTCTTCCCTGCGCGCATTGCACCCTGGGATATGGTAGACCGCGGAGTGTACATCAGATGTATCCTTCAAATTGGGGAAAAGTAGGCTGCATTCGTGGGCCGCATTCGGAGGAGTCTCGTCTTTTTTTAAAATTGGGACAGCCTTCTTTCGGCGGAAGTGACGTATGCGGTCTACGAATGCACCCTTCGAAGGATGAAACCCCTGAATTGAGACACGGCCAGTGTGTGTTGTAAATTCCCCTTGTTTTCCTTGATCTGCGTTATATCGTTCGTGTTTTAGTCAGGCACATTTAGGGACAGCTAAAGTACTGCAGCTACGGGTCCTCGAGCTGGTTACACATGTGCGTTCATGACAGGACATTATTGCGGTCGCATCGTCACATGCATAGTTACCATCGTCACAGAGAAAATGCGTTCGTGAAGAATGTGAGCATATATGCAGATCTTTAGTGTTGGTAATGTTATACGATTGTATGCATAGTGTCCTGCTGAGTCAGTGTGTTAATGAGTCTCTTGATGTCCCGTTTTTAGTTGCTATGTTGTTCAGGAATTGAGCTAATGCTAGCTAGTTAGCTAAGTTAAGCTATTCAGTGATAGTGTGCGGATGAGATGCTAATTTAGCTTTTATTAGCCATGTGTGTGTTTGCAACGTGTCTAATGTGTTTTAGCAACAATTAGTATTGCTGTTGCTTATTATTAATAACCATAGTCTGGTTAGTTATTGTAATTTGAACCTTATTTCTATTTCTGTGTATTTTGCAGAAACCACATTCATTCATTCTCTACTCTACGTTATCATTAACATCAACCCATTCAACATCCTGTATGTGATTCCACATCAAGCATGATGTATTCTGTGTTGATGATCAGAACCAAGCTAATATAAAGTCCAACGACTGTACTTCCTGTCTCCGTGTCAACTCTCTAACCGGAGTGCTGTTTTGGATAAAGCGGCTCCAGCACAAACATCACAAAACACATAAGATTCCCCAATAGTGTGTGTACTGTATTATGAACGCTGCAATAAACAATCACGTGAAAGTCATTATGCCCCTTTCACACCGGCGCTTTTTCAGCTCCGGCTCGGAGCTGGAGCCTGAAAAGTACCGGTTTTTCCTGTTCACACCGCAGCGGCGCCGCCTCATAGCTCCGGAATGCGGTTGACTTCCAGCTCCAAAAAATTGTCGGTCTAGAGGCAAGAGCTTCGGAGCTAGAGGCGGCGTCGCTTACGTCTCTCTTACGTCGAGGCGTGCAGGAAACTAAACCCACCTCCCCTGAACATGGGTCGACTGAAGAGTCTCGTCATGCCTGCCTACAAGCAGTAGCGCTGAGCAAAGTGACTAGAAGGCAACCACACACTTATAAAAAAAAACACACTTTATAAAGTCAGGCAACACTAACCAGGCTTCATGTGATTCTGTTTATTTGTACCTTACTTTGACCATCCGTTCGCTGTTATTGATCATTGTGGAGAGCAGGCAGACGTTTTGTATGTTATTATAGCAGCTATCGGATGGAATCAATACATGGGCTGCACAGGTTGTCATGTCCAACTATCACAAGTAGAATCATAATGAAAAATACGCCGGTAAAATGTGCCTGTAGAAAACGGCTTAGCAAGTAGTCAGTTTAGCTTCGGTTGCTATGCTAACATCACTCATGTTATACCAGAGCAACTTTCATAACAGCGTTGTGATGCCAAACAGCGTCAATTCAGACTGACACACATTCACTTAAGGGGAACTGGGGATATGTATCAGCTGCTTGTGTGACAGTCAGACAGTGAATACTTTAGAGCCGTGTGAGCTAACCCGGAGCTAACGGGAGAATACACTCGTGGAAGAGCAGCCAGCACTGCAGCGGTCGGTAAATGCCGCTGAAACACATTAATAAACAATGAACCACGGCACTCTGGAGAAAAGTATAAGGTTGGAGAAGTCGCGACCCGACGCAGTCCCCCCCTGTTGTTGTTGTGAGCTCCGTTGGGGAGAAAATCAGCTATGTAAACGGTGACGTCATGACGCAGCAGCGGCAGCTCTGGGCGGTGTGAACAGAGCGGGAGCTGAAAAGGGAAACCGGAGCTGAACCAGAAAAGCTCTAGCTAGGAGCTAGAAAGGGAAAAGCGCTGGTGTGAAAGCCGCATTTCAGGTAACACAACTAATATATATTAGTTAGACATTTGATTTTATGAAACTAGATTAAATTCTTAAATCGTGATTCTTGTCTCTGATAATCAGGAATGCTGGGTGAAGACCAGCTGGCAGCCCAACATGCTGTGATAATGGTGGCTTTCATCACCTACATGGTAGCTACTAACCACAACTCAGAGCATTATATTCTTACTTTTAAACTTTCTGTAAACATATTTGATCTCAAGGAATGTTCAATTTGAGTCAGCGTACTTCCAAAGACTCTAAAGACCCGACTCTTTTTAATACTTTTTCTTTAAAAAAAAAAAATCCATAGTTCCCTCTAGGTATTCAAGCTGCAGCATGCGCCCGAGTGGGAAATGCCCTCGGTGCGGGAGACACTGCCAGGGCCCTCCTCACCAGCAAGATCTCTTTCGCTCTTGCAGGTCAGTTATAAAAATGTTGTTAATCTGTAATTTCATTTCTTCAACATTTTACATTTGACAGATTTCACTGCCGCTCTTTTCCAGCAAGCATCGCAGTTGTGGAAGGTGTTGTGCTCGGCTCTACTAAAACAGTGATTGGCTACATCTTTACCTCTGATGAGTGAGAACTGCACTCACTATTCAATAACTGTAAAACTACGATTTTTATACTGCTATTGCTACATACAAATATTGAACAAGAAAAATAGATGTTAATTATAAAACCTTTTTTCAGGAAGATCATAGGTCTGGTTTCGCACTTGATAAATGCTTACTGTTTCCTTCAGTTCTTTGATGGTATTGTGGTGAGTCGACCATTTTTTGTTAGTTACTGTAAGCATACATAGTATATTACCAGATTATATTTGCATTGTGCGAGCATAACCAGGCAAATATAATTTATTTTAGCTATCCCGAAAATACAATATATCGGCCAATGGAGAGACTGCTTAATGATTTGAGATATGTATTTACATCCTAGTGTGTGTGCACAGGCATCTTCTTGGGAACAGGCAAACAGAAGATTCCTGCTGTGGCCAACTTCCTTGGATACTACGGCATAGCACTTCCAATCGGCGTTACTTTGACCTTTGTTGCAAAAATGGGAATAATTGGTAATTACATGAAGTGACCTTTTACTTACTAAAAAAACATTCACTTGAAACCTTCTCTTCCCATAAAAGACACATTTTTCTTTGCAGGTTTTTGGCTGGGACTACTCATGTGTGTCATTGTATTATCCACCTTCTACACCATTGTCATCTTCAAGCTCAACTGGAAGACAATTACAGAGGAGGCACGTTCAGCAGCGTCTCATGATTTGGACTTATACTTACACATTTTGCATTTAAAACCTATTGTAAGATTTTGAGAAATGTAAAGTTGTTGTTTGTATTTGTTTGCAGGCTGTGGAGCGAGCACAGAAAAACACTCCCATGACTTTATTAAGCACAGATGCCCTGTCAGACACTGCGGGTGACAACACTGATTACCAGAGAGCGAGTAATGGGAATGTAAGTGGCCAAACCCAACAATTAATCTATATTTATTTTCAAAGCCTGCTTCCTCTTGTTATCAATTGACATATTTGCTATCTTTGGCTAGTTTGACACTGCTCGCCATCTATATGACTCAACCAAGTAAAATAACGGGCAATGTCTTTCTCCAAAGTCAGTGGACGGCTACATGTCTGTGAGCTCCGGTTGCCATAACGGGAACACAGAGACAGAGAGGGGACATGTGGTCCAGCAGCTGAAGGGAGGCCGTCTCTCCACTACACAGCTGATCCTCAGACGAGGCCCCGTTATGTTTGCGGCAGTTTCACTTCTGGCTGTGGGAGCAAGCGTGCACTTCCTGGTGCCTTTGCCAGAGATGCTGCATTCAGAGGCCAACTTTACTTTGGACTGGACCAATACGACATATACCCCTGATGAAACGTTCTCCACTGCACTGGTCCCAATAGAAGGATAACCATAAGATCATTAATCACTAAATCATTGTTCCCACTCAATGTCATAAAATATTATGAATTATTGGCAATGGATGAAATAATATTTTCCTTTACGCAATTAATTTATTAATGGATAATTACATATTTATGTTACATCTGCACTTGTGTTTCCAAAAGTCCAAATAAAATGTTGATTCCAAGAATACCACAACACTTTATTTATTAAATACAAATGTTTTGGCAATGTCTGTAGTTTGACTTAATTTCTTTGACAGAATGTGTTTGTGAGAGGATTCACTAATGACCGTAGCAGATGCAAAGGGTCATCTAGTAAAATAATGACTCAAGAGTTATGTATTGCTTAAGGAGATTAATTCATTACTTTCTGCCCGCCTGCACCTGTGACTGTCTTCTGCATGTCCTTCTTTGGCATCGTGCGATACAGTACAAACATCCGCATCAGACGGTGCAGCAGTGCCTTAGGGGTTACCTCGAATACTTCGAGTTCCTGAATAGAATTGACTTTGCTCACAATCATGTAACCAAGTTATTGATCAGCAGGTTAATAATGATTCCAGCAGCCAGGATGAATAGCATGACAGCCAGAACCAGGCCTCTGCGCAGAAGCAGACTTCTGAGAGACAGCTCCTCCTCCCCCGGACTCACTGCGGGCCCCCCCGCCTCGCGGTCCACCAGCTCCACGGTGTCTGTTCCTGCACTGTCCTGTGAGTCCCCTGGATCCTCTGGTTGTGGACCTGGACATACAACATATAAACATATATAAACTTTCTAACTTAGAAAAATATTTCATCTGACATTTTTGTAAATATGTGTTTTACGTTCAACTCTTCCTATTTTGCGTTAACATTTGATGCACGATTCTAGTTTTTATTGATTCCTAACTTAGTTTAATACGTTACAGCAGGGGTGTCCAAACTACGGAGCGGGGGCCAAATGCGGCCTGCGGACCATTTTGAATCGGCCCTCAGCAAATTAAAAAAGTATAATGAAATATGGCCCACAAATGAAACTTGTGCTTGTCTTATATTGTACTTCTTAAATATAAATGTAAAAATAAATTACACAGTAGTATTCATGTGTTCATAAGACCACTTTTTAAATACATTCAGTCAATTAAAGATGGAAATATTTTCTAACATCTTAGTTGATAAGAAAAAAGCCCAGTGTGTTATGTTTATGCATGGGTTTTGTTGTTGTTGTGTTATTTCCTGTTTTGCTCCTTTTACCCCTCACTACTCTGTCTCTCCTTCTCTGCAGGGCTGGTGTGTGACAGGTATTCTCCTGGCTGCAGATGAGGCACACCTGTTCCCACTCAGATAATCACCTGCTCTTTAAGAGCCTGGCCCTCACCTCACTTCTCTGCCAGAGAATTGAATGCTGTTCAACGATCCAGAGTGCCTTTCTGCAGCCTTGAGTTTTGTTTTGTTTCTTTGCAGTTTTTGAGCTACTTTTCGAGTATAGCCTGGGACGTTTCCCTCTGCTTTGTTTTTGTACCTTTCTGCAGCCAGCCAGCTCCCTGTTTTCAGTACCTGCCTTGGCCTATTATTTATTAAACACCTTGAGCTTAACTTGTGTCTGTCTCTGCTTTGGGGTCCAAGAATCCATACGTCACAGAATTCTCTGGCCAAATGGACCCCGCAGAGAATGAGAGACTCAGGGAAGTGCTTGCTGCCCAAGGTGTAATTATAGGGCATCATGACAGAGCCCTGCAGAAGGTAATGGAAGCGATTCAGGAATTAACCTCCGGTGTGACCAACCTCGGAGGCCGTATGGATCAGGTCGCAGCACATCTCTCCACGCGCCCGCTGACTGCCAATGCTCAAGCTCCAGATCCTGCTCCTCCACCTCAAGCTGATCCGGAACGACAGCCCTGCAATCCTCGTGAGCCCTTTATCCCCACTGCCGTCAGGTATTCAGGAGATTTAGGGTCTTGTAGTCAGTTCTTGCACCAATGTAGTCTTGTGCAACAACCATTCACTTATTCCACTGATAGATCTAGGGTTGCTTTTTATTATGAGCCTACTGAGTGATAAAGCAGCAGCATGGGCCCTTGCCATATCTAACAGCAACTCGCCTATCAGTCAGTCTCTGCCGTCTTTTACTGCAGAGATGCGTAAGGTTTTTGATCATCCAGTGAGGGGAAAGGAGGCTGGTAAAAGACTCCTTTCACTCCACCAGGGTTCAGGCTCTGTTGCTAATTTTGCTATAGATTTCCGCATTCTTGCAGCTGAGAGCGGTTGGGATGACATGGCCTTGCTGGGAATTTTTTGTAAGGGGCTAAATGATGATTTAAAGGATGAACTAGCTGCCAGGGATGAAACTTCCTCCTTAGAGGAGTTGATTTCTTTAGCGACACGATTAGATAACCGCCTCCGCGAGAGGCGTAGGGAGAGATCAGGAAAGCATAGCTCCACCTCCCTTACCCCTCAGTCCAAGTTTCCTAGACAGCCTGCGTTCCCTGGACCTTCTCTTCATCCTCCAGACTCCTGGCCTTCCAGTGCTTCGCCTGCTACCAAGGCCTCTCCCTTCCTCATGGAGGAGCCCATGCAGCTGGGAAGGATGACGCTTACCCAATCAGAACGTCAACGCCGTCTTCATCAGAGACTCTGCTTCTACTGTGGCCAGGCTGGTCACTTCCGCGCCGGTTGTCCTACTCAGCCAAAAGACCTGGCTCATCAGCAACAGGGGGAGTACTGATGAGCCATACCTCTATCAACTCAGCCTCCTCCAACCGCATCCCAGTCAAAGGTACTATTTCTTGGTCTCAGGCCTCTTTTCCGCTTCAGGTCTTGATAGATTCTGGTGCGGATGACAATTTCATTGACTCTGACTTTGTGATGCAGTCTAAGCTCCCCTTTGAGCCTCTTCCTGAACCTAAAGATGTGTTTGCCTTAGACGGGAGACTCCTAGCCCAAGTCACCCACCGTACTGCTCCAGTTTCCCTCAAGCTCTCTGGTAACCATCACGAGATTATCTCCCTGTACCTTATCCCCTCACCCATGTCGCCACTCGTTTTAGGTTTTCCGTGGTTAAAGCTCCATAACCCTCACATAGATTGGGCCAACTCGTCTATCGTTAACTGGAGTATATTCTGTCACTCACATTGCTTACACTCTGCTGTACCCCCCACAGTTACTAGGGCACCAGATTCCCCCAAACCCATTGATCTCACCTCTGTACCCCCTGAATATCACAACGTCAAGGAGGTTTTCAGCAAGGACCACACACTATCCTTGCCACCTCACCGGCCCTACGACTGTGCCATAGATTTGCTCCCTGGCACCCCCTTTCCATCTAGTAAACTGTACAATCTCTCCAGGCCAGAAAGGGAGGCCATGGAGAGTTACATCTCTGACTCACTCGCTGCTGGGCTCATTCGCCCCTCTTCATCTCCTATGGGCGCAGGTTTCTTTTTTGTGGACAAGAAGGATAAGACCCTACGCCCTTGCATAGACTACAGAGGTCTAAATGGGATCACAGTCAAGAACAAGTACCCCCTTCCACTCATTGACTCTGCTTTTGTCCCCCTCCATGAAGCCACAATCTTCACTAAGTTGGATCTTCGCAATGCATACCACTTGGTGAGAATAAAGGAGGGGGATGAGTGGAAGACTGCATTCAATACTCCTCTGGGACATTTTGAGTATTTGGTAATGCCTTTTGGGTTAACGAATGCACCAGGTGTTTTCCAAGCTATGATTAATGATGTCTTGCGTGACATGTTAAACAGGTTTGTTTTTGTGTACCTTGATGACATCCTGATCTTCTCTCGCACTCCTCAGGAGCATGTCCAGCATGTAAGGCTGGTACTACAGAGACTTCTTGAGAACAGACTGTATGTTAAGGTTGAGAAGTGAGAGTTTCATGCCTCTTCTGTGAGTTTCCTGGGTTTTATCGTCGACAAAGGACAATTAAGGACTGACCCCGCCAAGGTCCAAGCAGTGACCGAGTGGCCCACTCCCTCTAACAGGAAGCAGTTGCAAAGGTTTCTGGGCTTTGCCAACTTTTATAGAAGGTTTATTCGGGACTATAGTAGGGTAGCAGTACCTCTGACTAAACTAACCTCTGTCAAGTTGCCTTTTGTGTAGTCTCCTGCAGCTGAGGCAGCTTTCGTAAAACTGAAATGTATGTTTTCCACTGCTCCTGTTCTCTCTCATTCTGATCCAGGGGTCCAGTTTGTGGTGGAGGTGGATGCCTCTGATTCTGGAGTGGGGGCAGTATTATCCCAGCGTTCCCCCTCAGACCAGAAGCTCCACCCTTGTGCGTTCTTCTCTCGCCGGCTGACCCCTGCTGAGAGGAACTACGACGTTGGTAATCGGGAGTTGCTGGCAGTGGTTCTGGCCCTTCAAGAATGGAGGCACTGGCTGGAGGGAGCCACCCATCCTTTTGTAGTATGGACTGACCATAAGAATTTGTCTTACCTTCGCTCTGCACGCAGGCTCAACTCGCGCCAGGCTCGGTGGGCTCTCTTCCTGGGACGGTTCAACTTTACCTTGACCTACCGGCCTGGCTCCAGGAATGTGAAGGCCGACGCCTTGTCCCGGCAGTTCGCCCCCCCAGTGGAGGATTCATCAGATTAAACAATTTTGCCATCTTCCTGTGTCGTGGGAGCTGCTAGATGGGAGATTGAAAGGGTGGTCCAGGAGGCCCAGGAGGACCATCCAGCGGCTCAGGATTGTCCACCAGACCGGCTGTTTGTTCCCCCCGATGTTAGATCTCCAGTGCTCCTGTGGGGACACGCGTCCAAAGTAGCCTGCCATCCAGGTTTTCTTCGGACCCTGGCCCTACTTCAACAACGCTTCTGGTGGCCCACTATGTCCGCAGACACAAAGGAGTATGTCTCAGCCTGTTCCGTCTGTGCCCGCAGCAAAGCTTCACATCAGGCCCCCGCTGGTCTTCTTCGCCCCCTTCCCATTCCCCACCGGCCCTGGTCCCACATTGCGGTGGATTTTGTGACTGGTCTCCCACCATCAGACGGTAACGACACTATTCTGACCATCGTTGACCGTTTTTCTAAGGCTGTGCACTTTGTCCCCCTGCCTAAACTACCTTCTGCCCTTGAGACTGCCACTCTTCTCACCCAGCATGTTTTTAGGCTGCATGGTATCCCTCAGGATATTTTATCAGACAGGGGTCCGCAGTTTTCCTCCCAAGTATGGAGGGCTTTTTGCCAGGCATTGGGGGCGTCGTCCAGCTTGTCCTCTGGGTACCATCCCCAGACCAATGGCCAGACGGAGCGGGCAAATCAGGACCTGGGAGCGGCTCTTCGTTGTGTTGCCTCTCGAAACCCGGCCTCATGGTCTTTTCATCTACCGTGGGTTGAGTACGCCCACAACTCCTTGGTATGCTCTGCCACAGGTATGTCACCTTTTATGGCTTCTAACGGCTTCCAACCCCCCCTTTTTCCGGTTCAAGAGAGAGAGGTGGCGGTTCCTTCGGTGCAGGGGCATCTCCGGCGAGCCCGCAGAGTCTGGCGTGAAGCCCGGGCAGCTCTCACCCGCACCTCCGCCCGGAACCAGAGGCTGGCGGACCGTCACCGCCGACCAGCTCCTGATTACCAACCGGGCCAGAAGGCTTGGCTTTCCTCCCGTGACCTCCCTCTACAAACTGAGTCTCGGAAACTCACTCCCAGGTACATTGGACCTTATGAGATTGAACGTGTCATCAATCCTAGTGTGGTTAGGCTCAAGTTGCCTCTTGCCTTGAAGGTGCACCCAACTTTTCATGTGTCACTCCTCAAAAGAGTTTCCTGCAGTCCTCTTTGCCCTCCGACCGAACCCCCTCCACCCCCCCGGCTCATCGACAACCACCCGGCCTTCACTGTACGGCGGTTGCTGAACGTTCGAAGGCGGGGCCGTGGCTACCAGTACCTAGTGGATTGGGAGGGGTATGGGCCAGAGGAGCGACAATGGGTTTCTCGCTCGCTCATTTTGGACCCTGATCTCTTGAGAGACTTTTATGCCCGGTACCCGGATAAGCCTGGTAGGCCGCCAGGAGGCGTCCTTTGAGGGAGGGGTACTGTTATGTTTATGCATGGGTTTTGTTGTGTTATTTCCTGTTTTGCTCCTTTTACCCCTCACTACTCTGTCTCTCCTTCTCTGCAGGGCTGGTGTGTGACAGGGGGCGTGGCTGGTATTCTCCTGGCTGCAGATGAGGCACACCTGTTCCCACTCAGATAATCACCTGCTCTTTAAGAGCCTGGCCCTCACCTCACTTCTCTGCCAGAGAATGAAATGCTGTTCAACGATCCAGAGTGCCTTTCTGCAGCCTTGAGTTTTGTTTTGTTTCTTTGCAGTTTGAGCTACTTTTCGAGTATAGCCTGGGACGTTTCCCTCTGCTTTGTTTTTGGACCTTTCTGCAGCCAGCCAGCTCCCTGTTTTCAGTGCCTGCCTTGGCCTATTATTTATTAAACACCTTGAGCTTAACTTGTGTCTGTCTCTGCTTTGGGGTCCAAGAATCCATACGTCACACAGTGACTTATTTACATAACAAGCTTGAAATACACCCTTCCTATTTCTCCTTATTATAATCACTCTGAGGCTTCTGTTTTAAGGGATGAGCTGCCAACACTCACAAGCATCATTTACCTACATTTGATTGATTTTGCTAACTTATAACTGAACTTATAAGGCAATATAGTCTCGTGAGTGGCCCAGCCCTTCGTATATTTTTCTGTATGTGGCCCTCGGTGAAAAAAGTTTGGACACCCCTGCGTTACAGTAACTTCTATTGAGATGACAGCAGCATGTTTAATAAATGGGATTCTTCTTTTCACAGCTAATTGCTGAACATTAATGATCTATATAGGGCTGACTCTATTTAACAATTGTTAAATAATTAGTCATATATGAAGCATTGATAAATGACCTAAACTATATAAATACTATGTGTATATAGGTATATTGTTGAAGATGTCCCCTGCACCTGTCACTTTAAGCATGTTTCAACATTTTTCTCAAGCCATTTCAAGAACAGTAGACAGGGAGACTCTAGCAGTGTTTTGTGGAGTCTTACTTGTGTCTGTAGAGCTCCCAACCACTCCTGCTCTGATTTGAGCCTGCAAGAAAACAATGTATGAATGTTTATTCATAAAGACCTTTTACAATGTGAAGATTTATTAGACTCTGAATGTGAAGACTCTTAATTCCTTACCTCTGTTGTAGCTTTATTCCAGTTCATTCTTAACAAATAAGAAGATAGGAATATGACCTGCAGAAACACACCGGTAACTAGGCCTATCCATAGTCCTGAGGGAATAAAGCATTTCTCATACTTAAAAAAAGACACCGGTTTAAAAACTTTAAAATAACCAGTTAGCATCATTGTGGCAACAAAAAGCTGAAGGCTCAAAAACATGCTGTACATCTTACCAATGATTCCCAATTTGGCTGCAAACATCAGTGGCACACCAATGGGAAAACCGACACCATAAAATCCCAAAATGTTACAAATGGCTCCAATCTTCTGTTTACCTGCTCCTCTTATAATGCCTCCCAAGGAAGCCTAGCCACGCACACAGAATGAAGAGATGGTGAGACAGGAAAGAAAGCACCTGGTATTTTGCAAAGGCAATCTATAGGTTTATCATAAGATATTGTTTGCATGACATTTCCGTAATACTTACTGATAGTGCATCTAGGATCATGAATGGAGCATATATAGACAAAACATCAGTAACCCTTTGCCGGATTTGTCTGAAAGAAGTGAGACTCAAATGTTCAGTGTGTGGGAGGTAAAAATGACATGAGATTGGATTCAATCCACTGGGGAAGTTGAATATATTTTAGATACAATTTGAACCCTTATTCTAATGTAGTATTTTGCCAAATGTATGACATTTCCTTAAAATCAGTTTCCTCAAAATGTTTTTTTTCTAGAATCTGAGCCATAAATCTCTACTTCAGTAGCTGTACATACAACAAGCTTTCCAGCTTCATTTGTACTTATATTCTGAAGATTTTTAAAGAGGGGTTTCTACATATATAATGAATAGCCTGATTTAACATTTTATTCTTAAAGATGGTGAATAATGATTTTTTTAAACTGGCTTTCATAAGAAGAGATATCCAAAAATGTTCTCTGTAAAGAGACATAGTTAATATGCAGTGGTGGAAATAGTTCTCAGTTCTTTTACTTACTGTCGTCATAAAATACTCAAGTAAAAATCCTGAAATTAAGTATGGAAGTATTAGTATTAAAATGTACTTTCTGTTTTAAAGGTAAAAGTATTCAGTACACAGAATGGCTCTCTTTTACAGTGTTGTAGAATAATATTATTCTTATAAATGTCAAATCATATTAACAATGTAGTTTGGCAAAGTGGAGCCAATTTTAGACACCTTTTTAAAAAATTAAAAATACACATGTATCATGTGTTTTCATTTGTGCAAAGTAGCTAGGAGAGTTTAATACATCTAGTAATGTAGTGTAAAAAGTACAATATTTGCCTCTGAAATGTAGTAGATTAAAAGCATAAGGAGCATTACATGCAAATACTCAAGCAAAGTACAATTTAAAGTATGATAACATAAAAATAACTATTTTAAACCTTTCAATTCAGTTGTGGTGTCACAGTCACAATGATAATGAGCAAAACATTTACTTCAAGTTAATATTTAAAGGAATATCTAGGCAAAGTTCACTGTAATAGTGAAAGGTCATTTAGGAGACCGATTATCTCCCTCAGACAAAAGTTTACTTTGTGTTTGTTAACACAACAGCCCCTGTGTTATTTTTTAAACAAAAGTAAAGAATATGGTTGTGGTTGCAAAGGTTTTTTTTTTTTTACTCACTCATCATCTGAAAAGACATATGACATCTGGCCCTTCAGGCTGCCAAGGAGAATTGACCAACATATAGACATGGACCCTGTGTTAAAGAGTAACAGACCTTATTTTCCACAGGTTTCATCATTTTAAAGAAAGTTTATTTTCTGTAAATATACTGAGAATCTTGTGACAATAATTAGCTCTGCTAGCCATTTGAAAACGTTTTGGCTCAAGGCATGCTATTCCAGGTCAAAGACAACCTTGTAGTATTTCTTTAGTGAAATAACAGTTCTAAATATAAATTATTCTAGAATTATCTTGACTTAAAATACATTTGTATAAGATATTATAAACCACATTTTGAAGAGCATACTGACCTGCACAGAATATTGTCAGTTTAGCAGACAGCTTAGCCTGCTCTGTGTCTCCGCCTCCCAGCGCTTGTCCAACTCTTACATTGCCAGCTATACTGAAACCCAAAGGGAACTAATAACACAAATACTACGTTAAAATGCTGTGACACTGCGTGTAGAAATTGGTCATTCATTTGACACCATAACCGTTTATGCAGATTCAGTCATTTTTAGAGGACAGATTACCATAAATGCAATATTTGCCAGTTGGTACACAATTGATTGAGCCCCAAGCTCCACCTCACTTATTAGACCTGTTAATGACAAACAGCCGTTAGATTTCTTACTAACTTTAGTTCACACAAATGCTTTAAACCACAAAGTGGCCTGTAGCATTACCTGCCAAAAGGCTTCCAATCTCATACGACCACCACTCAACACACATCATGACCATGCTGGGGATGGCCAAGTACATGTATGAGCCCCAGTCCTGCAGGCACTCTTTGGTCCAGCCTGTTTGGAAGAATAACAAATAAATAAATAATTCATTCTCTCAATCATTTCATCTTTGAGTCGGTCTGATCAACTACGATATAAATTATCTTAACTTCCGATAAAAAATGTAAAAGCAAATAAATAATTAGGAAAAAACAGCAATGCACAGTAAAAGGTTCCTTTGCAGTATGCATAAAGGCTGAAATATTAAATAAAACAGAGAGAAGTCTGAATGCACTTTATATTGCTTTGTAGAACAAAATATGGGGAAATTGATACTTTTCTTCATAAATTAAAGAACGTAACCACACTATCCTTCACTTTATTGACGTTCTTTTATTTTTACAATATATCAATAACTGTCACAAGATGTTTCTGAAACAACATATTGCACATACAGCCTTGAATCTGTCTCTTAATATAGTAGGTCGTGTTATGTTGTCTTGGAGGACTTCTAACATAATTCGATTTTTGCTTTCCATATATTGTAAGTCAAATAAGAAATGCAATAATCATTATTATTTCCAAACTATGTTTAATCTAAACACTTTGTTTCTTCAGAGCTACAATCCTACCGCTTTGAGATTTCTTCAACCCTGGAATGATTCATTAGCACCTGCTAATGATATGCTGGGCCTATTATATGTCCTGATCGGTTTATTTTCTGTTTTATTTTTGAGTAGTCAGTCTGTCAGTTTCCTGTTTTACTTTGAAAGGTGTTCCCCTCCTCTCTCATGTCTGTATTTGCTTCCTGTCTCTGGCTGCGTTTCACTTCTCTTATTTTTCATTTCCTCGCTCCTCGGTCTCGGTCTCACCGGAAGTTGATTTGTCTGTGCCATCTTGAGTAGCGTCCCAATGGCCTTCTTTTTGCCGGAGGACCGAGGATCGAGGAGCGAGGAGCGATAATGGAGGAGCTATAATCGAGGAACCACCAGACCATCCTTCGATGAAATCCTCAGACACTCGCCCCGCCCCCTTACTGTGTATCGCTCACTGATTGGACGATGCAGTGCATGCAATGATCTGATGCTTCTTGACATGAGAGCAGAGTTTCCCAGCGGAGTGAAGAAAACACATGAACCTCACGGGACTCACTCCTCAGTTCATACTGTGTTTTGTTTCAATGAATGCATCATTCAGTTACAAATAAGTGATATATCTGAACAACAAGGTGGACAAAAATCATTTCATTCATTTATTGGAAACATTTTCGTGATCGCTTTTTTCGTTTTACATTTTCATTTATTGTCATTTCCATTCAGTCAGTCATTAAGTGCTATTTAACATGTTAATTTGCTACATATCCACACAAACAAACAAAGTGTGCAATCCAATGAATGTTAATCTAACTGGGTTTTGATAGATAACATATCTCTTTTTCTTCTCTCAATTCTTTTATTTATATTGTGCACTCTAATCAATATTAATCAAACTAATATTCGTTTATACATTTTAAGAATGGCGTTTATCTTTTTTGAGAATTAGTTCTTATTTGATTTGATTTATTTGGGTCTACAACAGATGATACAAATGTTTGTGTCAGTAAATGTGTACTAACAGAGGCGGGGGTGTTTGTGAAAATAACGGGGACAGAGCTGCTGTCAGACGATCAGCTGTGCGGCGTCATCACAAACGGACGTCGCTTCACGTGGCTCTCCGGAGGAAAGGACGTCCCATTGCTCTTAAAACTCATTTCCCTGCTTCTCGTGGTTTCCTTGCGTCTCTCCATGCTTCCCTGGTGGGAGGGACTGGTCGCAGGGAAACGACGCAAGTGAGGGACGCAAGGAATCCATTTAACCGAAGTGAAACGCAGCCTCTGTGTTTTCCCTCCTGTTTGATTGTCTGATTGTGATCACCTTTTGCCCCTGAGTTTCACTTGCCCTCTCCAGCTGTGTCTTGTCTTGTGTATTTAGTCTTGCTTTCCCTTGTGTTCCTTGTCAGTTCGTCGTCGTTTTTCGTGTGGTTTGGTTCTGATGTCATTTTCTGGATTTCCCTGGTCTGCCCTCCCGTGTCTCCTGAGTGTTCCCGTTTAGTTCTTTCTTTCTTTGTTTCTTTTCTTTTTGTTCCACCTCGCCTGCTCCTGCCATTTTTTTGTAAGTACAGCTTTCATTTTAATAAACGTAGCTTTTTGTTCCTGTCCTTACAGTATATCTGCCTCCCTTGTTTGTTCTGCATTTAGGTCCGCACTCTTGCCAAACCCTGTCAGTCTATGTGTTACTCACCTCCCCAGGTGGGCTTATGAAGACCTTTCCAAATGATATAAGCAAACAGAGTTGTAGCCATGCAGTATTGGGATATGGCGTTGGCAGCAGCAGAACCACTGTAAAGAGTATTTAATTGCAAAATATTGGTTTTGTGGGGGAAAAAAGCAATAATGGCGTTACTAAACAAGTCAATAGGCAATACTCACGCTATTCCCAGATGTAATACAAAGATGAAGATATACTGGATGACAGCATTGAGAATGTTGACTATAAGGCCTGTGATTACCGGCGGCCATATGATGCTCTGAGAGAAGAGCCACATATAATATAAATGACATATATTCTTGTTAGACATTGGCAAAGTGAGAACACAAAGATTACTACAGGAGATTGTTAAGGGTTTTCCTACACTGAGTCATCATCCCATCACAGAAGTATGATTAACAAATGATACCTTGTACCTGATAAAGAGCATTTGTAACTTTTAAATGTAAAGGGACCATTCTATAGCGTTGTTGAGTCCTTGAGATGCAGAATGTACAGGTTTTGAACTCAGCACCTGGACAGGAAAGATGTGAATTTGATTTACCAAAGTTAATAATTGCAAAACAAAACCTTGGTCCAAATCTAAATTTTATACACATTCATATGCCCTGACCTCATTTTCATCATCATTCGGACGCTGACCTCTAATATCAACTTGCAACCTGGTGCAACTCTGTATTACTGCAATAGAAGTCAGACGAATAGCATTTCAGCTAATATCCTTTTTGGATACATTTTGGCTTTATGACTTCTCTTTCATGTAATCAACCTGTCCTGTTCTTAATTCATCTCATCAGATAGTTATCTAATGGACTTACCTGGTTTTGCAGATAACTTGTTTGTAATGCATACATGAATGTAGCCTACAACAAAGAAGGAAATCTCTCAATTATATATTTGGACACACACACACACACACACATATATATATATATATATATATATATATATATATATTAGGGTGGTCATTCGTGAGAGGTACATTTTCGAATTCATTTATTTTAAGCTCCAACCACCGGAATTTGTTATCATAGTCAAGAAAACTCTCCTGGTGAATTGTATTCAAATTCCAACAGCAATTACCCTTCCCTCATCAACCTTGAAGTTTAGTAGCTGTGTGGCAGCCCAGCAGGAGCACTAAGTCGGACTATGTATTTGAGGTAGAAAGACATTTTGCTTAAGATTTTTGTTATAGTTTAATACATTTAATTGTGTAATGAGGTAACCATTTATACAACTCCATTGCACTGATTTGTCTACTCCATTGCACTGATTTGTCTACTCCATTGCACTGATTTGTCCACTCATTGCACTGATTTGTCCACTCCATTCACTGTTTTGTCTTGTCTGCACTTGTGAAAAAATTATTTACACTGTCGCACTTTTAATGCCACACTAAGTTCCTATTTGTATTCATTGCAAAGATGGCATTCAAGGGTATCTGAATCTGAATAAAGCACTGTATGTTGTTGTGTGTTATAAGCTAACATTTTGGGAATAAATGGCACTTGTTTTCAAGGATTGATTTTATTAATTTTCATTTTTTATTTTCATTCTCATTTTAATCCTTATAAGCTATATTTATTCCCAGATAAAAAGCGTCTCTCGGGGATCCTCAGGGTGAAACTTCAAGGTCGATGAGGGAGGGGTAAATGTTGTCAGATTGAGGAAGAAATTCACCAGGAGAGTTTTCTCGACTAATAGAATGAATTCTGGGGTTTGGAGCTTAGACTTTCCGACTTTCAATTTTAAGGACCACCCTTATATATTTATATATATATATATATATATATATATATATATATATATATATATATATATATATATATATATATATATATATATATATATATATATATATATATATATATATATATATATATATATATATATATATATATCTATCTATATATATATATATATATATATATATATATATAATTTTTTTATTTTTGAATGCAGATAGGATAGGTTTATACTAAGAGGTTAGAAATACTCACAGGAAGAGCTGGCAAAAAGATCTTCACATACAACTGGGACACCCTAGAAAAAAATCTTACTTCAATATCAACATTAAATATACTTTGAAATATACAGTGGAGGAAATAAGTATTTGATCGCTTGCTGATTTTGTAAGTTTACCCACTTACAAATAAATGAACAGTCTATAATTGTAATGGTAGGTTTATTTTACTAATGAGAGAGAATATCAAAAAGAAAATCCAGAAATTTACATTATATAAAAGATGCAAATGTATTAGTATTTAACTGTGGGAAGTAAGTATTTGATCCCCTTGCAACAAACAAGAATTCTGGCTCCCACAGACCGGTTACATAAGTCCTGTTCCTTTAAAAATGTGCTAATATCAAATTGTTGTATAAAAGACACCTGTCCACAGAATCAATCAATCAGATTCCAACCTCTCCACCATGGGCAAGACTAAAGAGCTGTCTAAGGACCTCAGGGACAAGATTGACCCTGAGGTCTGCACCCTCTGATGACTGCACAAGGCTGGAATGGGCTACAAGACCTTCAGAAAGCAGCTTGGTGAGAAGGAGACAACTGTTTGTGCGATTATTCGGAAATGGAAGAAAGACAACATGAGCATCAATCGCCCTCGGTCTGGGGCTCCACACAATATATCGCCCCATGGGGTATCAATGATCATGAGAAAGGTGAGGGATCAGCCAAGAACTACACAGGAGGAACTTGTTAATGATCTCAAGGCAGCTGGGACCACAGTCACCAAGAAAACTATTGGTAACACACTACACCATAATAGATAAAATCCTGCAGCGCCTGCAAGGCGGAAGAGAGATGCTGACTATAACCTCCAGAACACCACCCCCACTGTCAAGCATGGAGGTGGAAACATGCGTACAGAGAGGAGGTCGAAAACCTGACATCTTGGTGCCAGGAGAACAACCTCCATCTCAACATCAGCAAAACAAAGGAGCTGATTGTGGACTACAGGAAGCAGCAGGGAGAGGGACACGCCCCCATCGCCATCAATGGGACTACGGTGGAGAGAGTCAAAAGCTTCAGGTTCCTTGGGGTCCACATCACTGAGGACCTGACATGGTCTCTTCACACCACCACCATCACCAAGAAAGCTCGACAGCGGCTCTTCTTCCTCCGCAGGTTGAGGAGGTTCAAAATGGATTCCAGGATACTCTGCAACTTCTACAGGTGCACGATAGAGAGTATCCTCACTGGCAGCATGACGGCCTGGTACGGCAGCTGCACCGACCTCGATCGTAAGGCTTTACAGAGGGTGGTGAAAACTGCACAGCACATCACCAGGACGGAGCTGCCATCCATGGAGGACCTTTACTCCCAGCGGCTCAGGAAGAAATCACTACGGATTATCAAAGACCCCCATCACCCCAGCCACAAACTGTTCTTTCTGTTGCCGTCTGGCAGACGTTACCGCAGCATCCTGGCAAGGACAAGAAGATTCGGAGACAGTTTCTTCCCGCGGGCAGTGAGACTGTTAAAAAATTGAACTGTTGAAACAACTTCAAACATTCAACTGCTACTCAGTAGTATGTATCTAATACCTAATATATATATATATATCATTCCAATAACTTGTATATAGACTCATACTGCACTATTCCACATCATAACTTTATTTCATTTTTATAACTATTATTATTTTTGTATTGCTCATGCTCTTATTGTTATTATGTTATGTTATTATGTTGCATTGTTGGAGAAGCCTGTGACATAAGATTTTCAACTGCATAATTACTCTGTAGCTATGTCAGATTGACAATAAAGAACCTTGAACCTTGATTATGCTTTGGGGAGGTTTCTCTGATAAGGGGACAGGACGACTTCACTGCATCGAGGAGAGGATGTACGGGCCCGTGTACCGGGAAAATATTGGCTGATAGCCTCTTTCCGTCAGCCAGGACACTGAAAATGGGTCATGAATGGGTCTTCCAGTAGGACAATAAACCTGAACATACGGCCAAGGCTAACACAGGAGTGGCTAAAGAAGAAGCACATTTAGGTGATGGAGGGGCCTAGCCAGTCTCCGGACCTTAATCCCATAGAAAATCTGTGGAGGGAGCTGAAGCTTCGAGAGGATCTTCAGAGAGGAGTGGACCAAAATCCTTCCTGAGATGTGCACAAACCTGGAGACCAACTACAAGAAGCGTCTGACCTCTGTGCTGCCCAACAAGGGTTTCTACACCAAGTACTAAGACATGTTTTGCATGGGGATCAAATACTTATTTCTCACAGTTAAAGGTGGGGTAGGTAATTTTGGAGAAACCAGCTCGAGTGCGCTAGAATTTGAAAATACACAACTGGAAAAAATCTGCCACTTCCTTACAGAGCCCCTCCTCCAACACACACGAACGCGCACATGACCAATGAGGGCACGAGATAAGTTTGTGCACAGATGGAAGGCTGACAGGCAGGTAGGCCATCCAGTTATTTTAGCCGGGCCGGCTAAAATGATTGGTCGTGCTTTTTACAGTACTACGGCTTCCACAGATGACATTTTGTTATGGATTTTTTGTCAAAGCACTTAAGATATTCATTGCTATCGGGATATTAAGAGCATTCCATGGAATATAACAAAAAGTGTATCTCGAGCCGGTTTCTCAAACTTACCTACCCCAACTTTAAATGCAAATCAATTTTTATCTTTTATATAATGTCAATTTCTGGATTTTCTTTTTTATATTCTCTCTCTCATTAGTAAAATAAAACTATAAAATGATAGACTGTTAATGTCTTTGTAAGTGGGCAAACTAACAAAATCTGCAGGGGATCAAAAACGTATTTCCTCCACTGTATACTCTTTTCTTACAATACATAAATAAATAAAGAACAAGAAGAATAAAACAACAAACTAAAGCAGTTCACAGCTTACCTGGCTACCTCTGGCTCTTGTTTGACAGCCAAAAGAATTGCCTCTGTGTTGATGAGAATTGCCCAACATGGGAAACAAGCCAGTAACAAAATGAGGATTGCCCTCTGAAGAATGACCCCAATCCTCAGAAGGTTTTGGCTCCCATAGGTCTAAAAACAGAAAGATTTTTATTTTTCAGTCGATACTTATCACACCTGATGAAAAATATTATATGTCAGGCTAAAGCTCATACCTGAGAAATCAAAGTATCACATGCTGAAGCCAAACCGCTTCCAACAGATATACCTATAACATTAATAACCTGAGGATTTAACCAAAACATTAGTGGATGATTTCTGTTTTATTTATTGGTTCACCTTTCACTGGAAGAACATTACTGTGCTGTACTTACTGATGTAGCCAAAGACACCCCTGCCAGCTCCACCGTACCCAGATGGCCACAGAAAATAGCACTTACAAAACTCAATGTATAAGCCATAAGATGGGACAAGACCTGTTGAGAAAAATAAAAATGAATCAAAAGTAACTAAGACAACAAACACATACTCAGTGTAGTAGTTTACACTGTTGGGGAGTATTTCAGCTACCTTCAACTTTGAGTAAGTTAAATTACCTATTTGCCTGCAAACTATTTTGGGCCTTTTTAAAGACATTTTTTATTACATTTTACCATCGAGCCTATTATTTAGTCCACGGGTCTTCAACAGGTGGACTGTGACTATAGGGCATCCTCAGAGTTAGCTACTGTAAAGAAGCAAACTCTTTTTAAATCGTATTCCCTGTGTTGTGGTACGTGTGAGCAGTGTTATATGTGGTGTTTGCTGGTATCCTCAAAAGATGTCAGACTTGCTGTTAAAGACATCACATTTCCATTTCGTATAGTGAAACTTTACGACTTGGGACTACTTTCAGTTTGTATGTGTGCATTTGTAATATATTGACAGATTGAATTTCCCTTTGTGGCATTAATAAAGTATTTGTTCTTCTGTCTACTTCTTAACTGTCAGTTAGTGCTGCCGGCTCAAAGTGTGCTATAGGCCCTCCATCTGAAGCTGTGTCACTCGTGTGCCTTGGGCTGCATCTACACACAAGTAACATTGAAGGCTTGGTGCAGTGTTAATTTCGTCAACGAAAACTATGACGAAAAATGTTCGTCAACGACCTTTTTTACATGACTAAGACGAGACGATGACGAGCTAAAAATAGATTCTTGATAACGAAAACTATGACGAAATGTATATTTAGTTTTCGTTGACGAGACGAGACGGGACTAAGGTGTTAATGGTGGACTATCGGACATTCAAAATGCAGCATATTTTCCCCCAAGTGTCCACCTTGTCTGTCAAAATGCATCTTACGTTTCTAACTTGCAATATCATTATTTCCGCTCTCTTCACTCCAGAAGAGCGATCTCCCTCTCTCTCTGTGTGTGCGGGGGCGGGGCCTAACAGACACGCTGCAGCGGACACAGAGATCTGCCGGGGACGGAGCGTTCAGAGAGTATAGAGACACTCTACAAGACTCGATGTGGAAAAAGCTTGTTTGCCATTAGTGTTATGGCGTAAGCGCGTTGAGTAGAGTAGTCTGTCCAAACAGCCGGCCAAAAGGCGTCATATTAAATTGGAGAAATGCACAATTTTCGACTTCTTTAACTAGTAGCTCTGTTGCGCCAATTACGAGTAACGTTATCACATCAGGTGCGCAGAGGTGGGAGAAGTACTCAGATCTTGTAGTTAAGTAAAAATACCATAGTGTATGAATACTCTGTTACAGTAAAAGTCCTGCATTCAAAATGTTCCTCAAGTAAAAGTATAAAAGTAGCGACAGTAAAAGTAGTCATTGTGCAGATTGGTCCATTTCAGAATAATATATTTGATATGTTTTATAATGATTGATCATTAAAGTGTTCTCTAAGCTGGTAAAGGTGCAGCTAGTTTGAATGACTTTGTAAACTGCAGGGTAGCTTGTGAATTTACTCCAGGTGGAAATAAAGTCTGATTTAAGACTTGTTTATATTTCACATCATTCATCCACATCTGTGAAGTAACTAAAGGTATTAAATACATGTAGTGGAGTAAAATTACATAATTTACCTCTGAAATGTAGTGGAGTAGAAGTACTAAGTAGCAAAACATTTAAATGTAAAGTACAAGTACCTCAACATTTTACTCAAGTACAGTACAATATAATAACATAATTATACATATTTTATTTATTTATTTCACATGTAAATAAAGCAATGTTAATTCGGTTAACAATTTGTTTAGTTTTTCCCTTTAAAAAATAACAAAAAGTAAATACAAGAATACCGTTAAAGTACCGGATCGATAAGCAGTTTTGATAAGAGTAGCCTAGTAGTACCGTTAAAAACCTTAGCGATACCCATCCCTATATATTACACAAGTAAAGTGTTAAGAGAATGAAATGTTGCTTTACGAATTTCAACACTTGATGCTGTCACCTTGATTACAATGTCAGAAACCTGTATTTGCCTAACTGAATTAGTTTAAAGAGAGAAAAGATGTTGACTAAAATGTAATTTTTCATCGACTAAAAGTTGACTAAAAAGTTTTGAGTTTTCGTCGACTAAAACTAGACTAAAACTACGAAGGATAGGAATGACTAAAATGTGACTAAAACTAATAACCATTTTCGTCTAAAGACTAAGACTAAGACTAAATCAAAAACAGCTGCCAAAATTAACACTGGGGTGTTACAGTTTTAGTATACATTCAATTTGTCCATCAAATAGGTAGCATTTTTTGCTGTAGTAAGGCTTTTTTGTGTTACCTTTTATTATACTTTATATAATATATGTACATTGTCAATTTGAACATTATTTAAGAAAGCAGTTTGACCTACTGTAGTTAACCACACAGTATAATAATAATAAGATATGAGCCTATTTGTTCAATGTTAACATGGCCTGTCTACACAACACACATTTAATTAATAATAGTCAAATTAAACTAATGTTACTTTTGATTGTTTTATTTAGATCATCATGGATATTGACAGTACATCTATATGCAGGCTACTCACCACTGGTCCGGCCAGCGTGCACAACTTTTTTATTTCTGTCTTGAAACCAACAGGGGCCAACATGCGGATCCGCTTTAATACAAAGCAGTCCCTCCATGAAGACAGAGGGGATCTCTGAGTGTTGCTCTCCATGATTCAGTATTGCTAGCTCCGTCTATACTCAGTGTGATGCTGTCAGGGCCCCTCGGCTCAGTCAAAGAGAGTGTGTCAGTGTGTGTACTGTATTATGAACACTGCAATAAACAATCACGTGAAAGTCAGTTAGTCACTTCCTGGCGGTGAAAAGGTCACATTTCAATGGGATATGCCGCCTCACCGATATCCCCATGACAGCAAATATATTAGGTTTCAGTTCAGGGGAGGGACTTCGCCACAAGAATGAAGAAAAGCGGACCGGAAGGTAAAGAACATATTTTCAAAATAAAAGACACGAGGATTATAATGGCAATGCTGTAAAAATTCAATCTGGGAAAATGTAAATCTAACAGAGAACGGTGAAATCAAGCTACTGACTAAATACATCCATCCATGCTCAAACTTTAGAAATGCTATTGCTTTATTTATGCTTTAATAAAAAATAAAACAGTAGCCAATATCAATATTTAATTTTCAGAGCCTGAAATTCAGCTTCAGTTATTACTATAGTTTAAATACTTTGAGCAGGTTGTAGCATGACTTGACTTCGTTGGACGCAAATATAATGACACTAAATTTAAATAGCGTGTCTGCAAAACTAATTAGGAGTAATATTATTTTATTTTTCTTACATTATTTTCGAAACAGGAGACCTAAATTATATCTTACATTTTTACATTTTAACTTGAAATGATACCATAGTAGAGCTACTTGTATAACATTGCATATATCAACTCTGATAGACAATTGATCCCACAGAGCGATGGAAACTAGATTATTTGGCATTAAATATACTCAATAAACCAGAGACGTTGATGTTGGTGCTGTTATGTACCAACAGATGGAGCCATTTCCCAACAACACAGTCAATCTGACCATACCGTAGTTCTTCAAGTTCAAGTGTCTCAGTGCTTTCCAAAGTCTTTATAAACATATCACATCACAGATAAAATAAATTATTCATCACCAAACCTCTTAACTGAATAGATATAATCCTGTGCAGAAAGCCACAGTAATCCTGGACTGAAAGGCCACTCCTAATGTCTGTATTCAAGAGCTCTGTGTCATTGTCTTCTTGGCGAGACGTTGACTTATTCAATCATGTAATAGGCCTATTTCCAAATCGCCTTTTTCTTTTAAATTATTATTATTGAATTTTTTTTTTCTCTTGTCAAACTACTTAGTCCTAATACGTCATTTTAGCTCTACATGTTGTTGAAGACTTGTTAGATTCGGCGTTACAAATAACTTAACTTTTGTTAATGATTTACAGGGTAACTAATGAGTCACTGGCCTTATTAGACTCATTTAGAATAAGGTCGATTAAATAACTCCTAAATTAATACCTGAAAGTTAGTAAAATTAACAAATGTGAGTACAAAATATATATTTTTTTCTATTAAAGGATGCTACATTTTTCAGAAATCATGACAATCATACCCTTAAATTAAGATATAACGGGTTATTAGATAAGTTAATTGAGTTTGTGCCTCCCTAAATTGTTATATTAGAGGTCTGACAAAAGTTATTGTTGTGGGTGGCCTCAAAAAGTATCCAATGGATTTTATTCTCTTTGCCATTAAAACCCCAATTATCAAATTCCAGGACGGTTTGATTAATTATAAGGATAATTAAAGGCATATTAATGTCACTATAGAGTAAGCATCTTACAAAAAATGTATCTAATTCAAATATTTAAAAGAAAATGTAATGATGTGTTTTTTTTAAATGTCCTAACAGGACATGTACGAGTCAGTATGTTCATACACAATCTTAATGACCGAGTAAGGTTAAAAATACACCCTGACATCAAGTGCAGCCATGATTGTCATTTATTCTGGCTAGGAGATTGAAAACAATCTTAAAAATATATTTCACAATAAGCTTTAAGAGGAAAATGGCTCTGTTTGTTTGTTACATCAAATAATTCCAACAGCAGGTGATCCTTTACTGTGGTTCGGAATTATGGGATAAAGACACACGCTCTATGGCAGGGGTCGGCAACCTTTTTGATATGAAGTGCCATTCTAAAAAAAAAAATTATCAGCGTGCCGACGATCGTGAATTATCAAAGGGGGGGGGGTTGAAGAGCTCGACGAAAACACTCGTGAAAAGTGATGTTTAACTCAGTTAATGGGGCTCATTCACTGGCGCTTCCACAAACAACAACCAACATAATTGTTACATACAAATGAAGTACATTATTCAAGTTTACATTAACTTTGGAGAATAACACGGGAGAAATGAGCGGAAGCGCTCTCTTTTCCTCTCTCCCCCTCTCTCTCTCCTGACAGCCTGTCAGTATCTCATGCAGCTCACTGATCCAGTAATGAGTGACAGTGAAGAATAAATATATTTATAACTAGTTCCAGAGGTAGATAAAATAGCTAAGTGTGTTAGGTCTAACTCTTGTGTGTTTTGCTCCGCTCACCGGTCCGTCACAGCGGGTGGAGCTGCAGGATTTCTGCTTCACACACACATTGCATACCGCTATTTTACTGTCATTTTCGGACACCTTAAAATACTGCCAGACTGGTGAAGCGATTTTGGCGAGCTTGTTTTGCCGCACACAGAGAAAAGTGTCATGTATGTTACGTCTCGCGATCGGCCTTTTTAGAGAGCACCGATCGATCGGCAGAGTGAGTATCGGCCGATATCGATCGCCACGCAAAAACTGCGGCATTTTTACAGCTCCTTATGGGTAATGCAATTTGTGAAGTGCTTTCCTCTGTGGTGAAACGATCAGCCCTGCACCACGGAGGAAAGCGGCAGAAAGTCGCCTGGAGTTAAAGAGAGCGCGGCTGCGTTGCGTGCATGGCTTCCTTCTGCAGGTAACGGGGAGACGCGCTCTGGCGGCGGTCTCGTTCAGGATCCGAAAATAAAATAAATATTTTCTACACTTATTCCACTTATTCCTAGTGTGCCACTGGTTACGCTGCCGCGTGCCATTGGTGGCACGCGTGCCAGGGGTTGCCGACCCCTGCTCTATGGTCACCAAAATGTGCTTTTTTGACATACAAGAGAAAAACAGGCAAGCATCTTTGAATCAGCTGACTGTTAAAGTCAATTTGAGGCTTAATTAAGCAGGCATTCACATGAAAACAGTCTATTGACAACTTCAAAGAGGAACACAATAGCAGGGTTGCATTTCTGTAGCCTCTTATTACGTATCAAAATGTCCTTTTTAGGGAGTGAATGGTTGTGAAGAACACATGATCTGTGGTCAAACAGCTCGACGAGTCATCCCTCACCCTGTTTTTGAGCGTGTGTAACATGCAAAACATGTGTCCGAAAGGAGAATGTGCTCTATAAGGTGAAGTTTTATGAGTGCATATCCTGGCATGAATACCATGGAGAAAACAGTAAACATGAAATGACTCTGACAGAAAATGTATTGGGTGCAGTCTTTAGATGACAGTGATACCTGACTGCTCACTGAATCAGGAATGTTTGGATATGCTTGACCTGGATTAACCTGCTAAAAGAGTCATGGAAAATGATATGTTGAAGGTGTTGTAAAGTATTTGGCTAAAAATAAATTGTTTTGGATTATGCATTGTTTAAACACAATATAACCCGAAATAATGAAAACTCCACTAAAGGCCACTATTTAGCGTGGTCAGTATGAATGTGCCTTGACCTGAAGAGTGTAAAGAAAGGCCCTCTGTCCTCTTCTTTTGGCCTGGCTCTTGTCCGCAGTTTAATTGGATACATTGCTAACTGAAACCATACCTACACACAAGACTTTAAGTACAAGGAAGAACTGATTGTATCAAACAGGCTGCGTATTGTCCTTGTGTGTAACTGATACAGAAAAGGTGGAAGGGCTTCAAAAAGCCTTTCCGTCCACAAAATGCTCTCAAAAGGTAGAGGAGTCACAACAGAGTTAAAACATACCTTATAAAGTTAATAAAACATTGTTGTGTTTTTGCTTTTTCGAGGGGATGGGTTACCAGAGGTGTTCTGTGCATGAAACCCCAGCCAAGAGAACAACGTGCAGGTTCACTTTCCCTACTGCAGCCTTACATGTATATATAGCCAATAATGGAGGCTATGATGCGTGAGGATGTGTTTTAATTGGATAATGAGTGGGTGGCTGAGAGGAGTATAACGGAGAGGAAAGCACTGTAATTACATAAGCATTTTTCCAAGAGTGGGACTCAAGATCATAGTGATCTGTACTCTTCTATGCACCCAACCACTTGTTAACCACTTTCAAACCGCTGAACATTTAAATTGTCTAACAGAACTGAGTCCACAACATTGATGGGATCATTTCATTTATTTCTCACCTTTGCTGCTGTGAAACATGTCTTCGTATCATATCTACGGTGGCTGAGAGGTGCAATCGACAATTACAAAGTGTGAAACACTTTAACAAAGCTTGAAACAAATTTACATTTTATAAAACAAAATTACATTAGCAAAACACTTTTACCACAGAAAGAACGATTTAACATTAACAAAAACAAACACTTTTACCAAGCTAGGGACACATTTACAAGTGTTGAAACACTTTAACATTTCCCGAAACACTTTAACATTTCCCGAAACACTTTAACATTTCCCGAAACACTTTAACATTTTTCGAAACACTTTAACATTTGCCGAAACACTTTAACAAACTAGAGAATCAAACCGGAAAGAGAATGCCCATCATACCAGAAGTGACGTGCAAGTGATTGACACAAACTTAAGTTTGTTTTGGCGGATAGACCGCCGGTACCTATGGACGGTACGAGTGTGTTTATGGTCGTTAAACATGTTTTGTCCGTTCTGTGGAAACCACCTGGGCCAAGTGACATGGTTTTGCTCATCACGATATACTTTCTCGTGCGCAAGAGATACATTCTCGTGCTCACAAGAAAGTTACAGGTTCGCCAAGTAGGAAGTGGAGCTGTGCCTTTTACACACAGCCTACGCTGTGTTTACCTTCATTAGACAGCTAAAGAGCGACTGCAGGCTGCTTCGTTATAGCCACACACACCTCTACACACACACACACACACACCTCTACACACATCGAACTGCCCGATTATTCCCCCTATTACTCGTTTTATGAAGGAGATGTCCGGTCCACAAGGCGCATGACGTGTGTGTTTGTGCTGTGCTCAGTTCCGCTCTGTGTGTGTGTTCGGTGTGTTTGTGTATGTCCGACACCGGCATTTGTTTTCAAATGACCATGAACAGTAATTTACAAACATCTAGCCAACTCCATATGTGTGTGTTCCCAAATGAAATAAATGTGTTTAATCTTAATCTCGATGTAGTGCTCAGTGCTGTCGGAGTGCAGTGGAACACTGCAGTCAACTCAGCCGTCTCTCGCGTTTGCTTGGTCAAATCAGCAGCTCTTCATTTGTGAGTGCGCAATTAATGGCGCCTTTTCATTTCATTTCATTTCATTTCATTTCAAACCTTTATTTAACCAGATTGGTCCCTTGAGATCATAGATCTCTTTTTCAAGGGAGACCTGTACTTTTTGAGTAATACTTGGTTAAACTCCTGTCCTGAGTACAATAATTCATAGTTCATATACAATACAGGAATTATTGTACTCAGGACGGGAGTTAGACCGAGTATTAATCAAAAAGTACACAGTAAAAGTAGTTGATTGTACTTGTGCTAGTAGTCCAAGTAGTACTTAGTACTGACTGAGTCCAACAGTATCAATTTCATGGAGAACCTTTTGCAAAAAATCATTTTATCCCTCAGCAGAATACATGAATTATTGTACTCAGCACGGGAGTTTGACAGAGTATTACTCAAAAAGTACACAGTAAAAGTACCTCATTGTATTTGTGGTAGTAGTCTAACTAGGTCAAACAGTGTCAGTTTTATTAAGAACTTATGGTACAAATTATTTGTATCGCAAATAAAGCAGAAAAAACATGCATTATTTTACTCTTGTAGCCTACTACTAGCGTCAGTGCCGCTTACCGTAAAGGCCCGATTAATTGCGCACTCAAAAATGAAGAGCTGCTGATTTGACCAAGTAAACGCGAGAGACGGCTGAGTTGACCGCAGTACCGGTGTTGTGTCAAATGATGCACCCCCATCATGAAATGCCCCCCTTGTCACGGGAACGCGCATTTCTAAATGACACGTTTACACCTTAAAACGATGTTTAAAACGAAAAGTAAACGTTCAGGGTTTTTATTAATGGTAATTTTCAGACTGTGAGTTGTTTAGTGGTAGCTCATATAGTCTTGATTCTTGTGGTTAAACTTTTCGCTCCGTATTTGATGGTAGTGGTGTCGAAATTCATTCGTCACTTCCTTTTCAGTTTTTGTTTTTTTACGGACGACAGTATCTTAAAGGTAGGGTAGGTAAGTTTGAGAAACCGGCTCGAGATACACTTTTTGTTATATTCCATGGAATGCTCTTAACATCCCGATAGCAATGAATATCTTAAGTGCTTTGACAAAAAATCCATAAAAAAATGTCATCTGTGGAAGCCGTAGTACTGTAAAAAGTACGACCAATCATTTTAGCCGGCCCGGCTAAAATGATTGGATGGTCTACCTGCCTGTCAGCCTTCCATCTGTACACAAACTTATCTCGTGCCCTCATTGGTCATGTGCGCATTCGTGTGTGTTGGAGGAGGGGCTCTGTAAGGAAGTGGCAGATTTTCTCCGGTTGTGTATTTTCAAATTCTAGTGATCTCGAGCCGGTTTCTCAAACTTACCTACCCTACCTTTAATATCTTCTGAAAACAAATGCCAGTGTCACACACACACACCCTGGTGACCGGACATTACCTTCATAAATAGAATAATAAGGCGTAATAATCGGGCAGTTTGATGTGTGTAGAGGTGTGTGTGTGTGTAGAGGTGTGTGTGTGTGTGTGTGTGTGTGTGTGTGTGTGTGTGTGTGTGTGTGTGTAGAGGTGTGTGTGTGTCGAGGTGTGTGTGGCTATAACGATGCAGCCTGCAGTCCCTCTTTATCTGTCTAATGAAGGTAAACACAGCGTAGGCTGTGTGTAAAAGGCACAGCTCCACTTCCTACTTGACGAACCTGTAACTTTCTTGTGAGCACGAGAACGTATCTCTTGCGCAAGAGAAAGTATATCGTGATGAGCAAAACCATGTCACTTGGCCCAGGTGGTTTCCACAGAACGGACAAAACATGTTTATCCGCCAAAACAAACTTAAGTTTGTGTCAATCACTTGCACGTCCCTTCTGGTATGATGGGCATTCCCTTTCCGGTTTGATTGTCTAGTTTGTTTTCGGCAAATGTTAAAGTGTTTCGGGAAATGTTAAAGTGTTTCGGGAAATGTTAAAGTGTTTCGGCAAATGTTAAAGTGTTTCGGGAAATGTTAAAGTGTTTCGGCAAATGTTAAAGTGTTTCGACACTTGTAAATTTGTCTCTAGCTTTGTTAAAGTGTTTCACACTTTGTAATTGTCGATTGCACCTCTCAGCCACCGTACATATCACATTATAACACCAACATAAGTTTGTCCTGCCATATATGTACAGTCAAATGATTGTTAACTTTTTGTCTTGCTGTAAAACATAATTTTCCTCATGGTGATATATACCCATTGGGATGGGGTTGTATTAGATTACTCTAAGAAATGGAGACATGTGAAATGTCTTCTTTGAGTTCATCATTTTGATGACGCAAAATGCTGGACAATATGACTACCTTGACCCTTGGCTCATGCAACGTCTCGCCAAGAAGACAATGACACAGAGCTCTTGAATACAGACATTAGGAGTGGCCTTTCAGTCCAGGATTACTGTGGCTTTCTGCACTGTGTTCACAGGATTATATCTGCTTTATGCACGAGACAAGAGGTTACTAAGCAAAGTGGCAAAGAAACACGTATGCACTAAAACACAGGTTAAACTCATGTGAAGTTGAGAAATATCGCACTGGTGTTGAAAGTGGGATCATATTGTTTTGGATGACACTGACTGATGACAATGCTGTTTTTTAACGGCTAAGACTGGGTTTTATTTCCATCTGCTTTATTTAAGCCTCTTACTTGTTGAAAGCTTATACCTGGGCTTTTGTGGAAAATATAAAGATCTTGCTGTGAAATCAGGAGCTTAGATTTAAAGGTGTTTTTGGAAAATTGTTGTGTTCATGACTCTAACAACAGACTGCGTAATGCTTTGTTTGTTTGAATGATACTGTAAATGGAAAATACTAATGGAAATAGTTACGAAATATTTTTTTCTACCAGTGTTATGTATGAAGGCAATGATACAACATCATTCAAACTCACAATATATTAACTCCTGTCTTTTATTTTGTCACAGAACAATGATATACATGTGTCTATTTCAGCCCATTGGCGTTTTAGGCATAAAAGGTACTCAAATCGTCATCTGTCAGGTACAAAAGAAATAGAACTTGAAATAGAACTGAAAAATACATTGGTTCTTTATTGGCAATTCAGTCAGAATTCATTATTGCAGGCAGACTTTCTCAAATGTATTGATCAAAAGATAGAACATCTGTTTAAAGTACAATAAGGCAGTGTGACTGTAAAAGGCAAATATTGGTTTCTTGCATTCGATGACACATTTCAAAGTTCAACAGATGCTGGAACAAGCCTTTAACAAACAAACATACATCTGTCATATACAGAAGATCAATACAGGGACATGTTAACTTAGTGTCATGTTTCAGCCTATTACCTGTAAATAACAAAAGGGCAAACCTCAGAAACAACAGTTTGTTACTCTAAATATATTTGATGAGATGTGTTTTTAATGAGATTTAAAAATTCAGTGCTTGAAAGCAGTGCGGGAGGAATCCATTAAGGGTTCTTACTAAGTAAACTAGTACTAATAGATGCTGCAATATAAAACAATGTAAAAATAGTCAATCACGAGTCTGGTCCATATTTGGCAGCAGAGACCGGTGAGCTATTTGGGCAGACATTTACAGTTTCAACACGTTAAGAGGAATTTCAATGATGTGTCTTGTTTAGATTGTGCTTTATGTATATTAATCTATGATAATAGTTTATATTTTCTTAATATGAAAAGTTACTAGTTACTACAGCTGTCGGATACATTTAATAAAAAAAAAAAAGAAAGTCCCTTTGAAATACAAGGTGAAAGCAAAAGCGCCATCAAATGTTAATCTTTATATCTCAAAAATGTATGTGTAAGTGCAGTACTTGAGTTAATGTGCAAAGTAACGATCTTATATTATGATGAATGGCTTTTTTAGATGTGGTTACCTTTCTATGTAAAACATTTCAATTAACTTTGACCTTATTAACAGCCCATTTGTTGGCTGTTAAATTTTGAATACACAGACCCTATATGTTTTATTTTTATACTGGTACATGAATGTAATGCATTTTTCTTTTAAGTGTAAATTCATTATAATAAAATATAAAACATTGTTTTAAATGTCAGTCATTCCCAACCATTTTCATAGCCACTTTCTTTTACAAGCAAGACTCAGGTGTCAATGAGAACAAGCCTCGAGGGCGTTGTACTCTAACAGCGATTGGACGCTTGCGGTCCACCATGTGCTCCTGTGCTATGGCTCTGACCAGAGGTCTTGGTCTGGCGCCGGTGTAGGGAGAGCAGGCTGTGCATGGATCTTCTTCTCTGGCAGAACCAAGCTCACACCCTGGTGACGTTGGCCCAGGCGGGGAAGGTGTCCAGGTCAAACATGGCCTTGGCCCAGGTGTTAATGGCCAGTGTTATACAAAGGATGCCAATTATGTTCATGACTATTCCTGTCTTAGCCTGATTGACAAGAAGAGAACATTGAAATGTTAAAGCAATATCTAGGCATTTTGGGAAATTATAATCTTTCTTGCTCTTCTTGAGAGTTAGTTCAGCTGATTGATACTCTCATATATCATGTAAGAAGCTCTGTAAGATTAGCTTAGTATACAGACTAAAAGCAGGGGAAACAGCAAGACTTGCTAAAGGTAGAAGGATTCGGTTACCTCCATATCTAAACCTCAATACTTACTTTGTCATAAATCTGTATACACATATTAAAAACAGAAACTTCAAGTTGCAGTCTTTTATGAGGACATTTTCTTATTCTCGCAAAGACATTTAAAGTAAGTTAATCGCACCTGTTGCAACTTCATATTAACCTTAAAAGCATAAGTGTGATTTTACAGAAAGTGAAGAGGTTGAATGCAATGTAAACAGAAGTGCCTAATTAAACATCACAATATGTTAAAACGTGTTTGTGCAATTTAAATATTCGAAGTTGGAACAAATCTGAGCTCATAAAATTGCTTTTGAATCTGCGTCACATAATGTGCAGAGATGAGAAGAAAAATGAGGGAGGCAAAGATAGCTTAGTAAGTAACATGTTAAATACTTGAACATTTGCTGTTTGGGATACAGTCATGAAGACTATGCAAATAAGTGCATTTCCCTAGATGTTGAGATATTCCTTTAATTGTTTTGAGGTTACATCTGCCAGTGAACGTATGAGTGCAGCTGTCCTTGCTGTGTAACAATGGCACTAGAGTACAAACTTTGCATGTTCAATATATAATTGAATGTACAAACACAAGAAGCCGCTGCCATACTTACCATGTCAGAAACCTTGAGGTATCCATAAGAGAAGACTATAGCGTTTGGAGGCGTGGCAACAGGCAGCATGAAAGCAAAAGAGGCACTCAGCGTACAAGGCACCATGACGTACAGTGGATTGATTCCAATGGACTGAGACTGCAATAATCACACAGAAATGATCACAGTCAGCGACAGGGATGAACCAAGCCTACATCACAAATACCTCCATCTGACTATTTTTCTGTAACTGTAATCACTGACTCATAACTCAACAGTAAAATGTGTGCAATTCAGTGCGTATGGAGAACTCTTATTAGGTAGGTGTAATTAAGATGTAATTCCTGTAAGCTAGCTGAGTCATGATATCTAAAATAGAAGCGCCCCACAGATGTAGCGATAATGGCAGACTACAAAAATGCAGAAAACATTACTCTGTGGAATTTGCTACAGAATTACATATGCCGCAGCACAGTAACTTACAAGTGCACAGTAATTTCTGGTACTCAAAATAAACAAAGGGAAAGTTTATAGTTAGTCTTCTTTAAACTATGGGCTGTATATCAGGTCACCACGATGACAACGTTTTGTCTTGTCTGATCAAATAATAAAGATTCACTTGACAGGATGACACATGAAGTGACATACCACAAGCCATGACTGCCACAAAGTGTCACCTCCTCTCTTGTAACTGATCAGATCATTTTTTTCTCTGTCTTTTCTCTATATCTCTATTTTCACATGAGGGTTCGACACCCTTGTGCACTCAAATAAATACATATCTATGTGAATGACCCAGCTTGGCACAGCCTGCGGCATCTCTCAAGTGCTCGACTGGCGGGCACAGTAACGTCATTCTTCAGCAGAGGGGGTGGGGGGGGGGCTAGGCAGCATAACAAGGGACTGGGCTGAATTGGTGTGTTTGGCAGGATATTAATGGAAGGAGGGGCCCGGGGAAGGGGACCAAACACATTCAGCCTGAATGACCAACTACATGGGTAACCAAACAAGTGAAAATAGGCCGGCTACCACTGGGAGTAGTCTCAATGCTGCACTCCAATTGGGGAAACCAGTTCAAGAAATTACGCTAAGTGGCACTTCACCTTACTAACACTGCTAACTAACACGATCATCTACCTGCTGCTTCTTTAGTTTCTGCCTCTGTTTTTTTAACTTTCACTCTAAGAACTTACCATTGAGGCTAAGACAGGTAGGAAGAGCGTCGCAGTGGCAACATTACTGGTGCACTCTGTGAAGGTAGCAATCAGCAGGCATAAGATGATAGCTATTGCCCAGGGAGGGATGTGTTGCAGGGGAGTCATTTGATCTCCCATCCACTTTGAGAGTCCAGATACCTTTATATATAAACATATACAGAGTCAGATTCTTTTCAGGAATAAAAAACAGTATTTAACTATACAACCAACATTTGTTTTGTGTATTTATACTCTCATTCAGATGTGTGATCATATAAAGGATCCTTTAAAGCAACATGTTCAGGGAACATTTGAGAAAGCAACAGTAGAAAATGTTCGGTTGGCATAGATTAAAATAGCTCTGATAAGTTATTGGGAGAGTTCATAATTAGGCTGATTTATATTAAACAGTTTCAGTGTATTACATGCTGATCCATCATATCCTATGAATCCATTGTGCAAAGCCGTTTGATTTGAGTGGGGGATTGGCCTCCATAAATATAAAAACTATACAGAAAGGTAATTACAGATTGTAAATACATTTCTATTCTAAGACTCCCCTTCCAGTTAGTCTTGCCATATTGTGTGTAAGACTTTTGCCCAATTCCCCATGAACAGTTTGACTGTCAATGCCACTTACTTCACTGCCCTTGGCAAGAGCAAAACCTCCACCAAGAAGAAGCACAATGCCCCACGGTAACTTTTTTTGAACAACTTTCCAGGTGAGCAGAGGAGGAGTCGGCCCGGTATTTTGATGGGGTGCTACAGATCCAATACATTAAATGTCAGTATTGTATCATTGTACAGTCTTTCAGCTCTTTTCATGCATATAACTGAATGACTGATACTGTACATTTTCCAAAACCATGGCTTACCTGTGTCAAAACGTTTAGTCCTCCACGAACAGAAACTTGGGGGTTTTGAGGGTAAAACAAAAAGAAGGATGGCAATGAAGATTGACACTGTGGCATCTGTCACATACCTGAGAAGTGAAGTGAGAATAGAATTAACAAACTGAGATAAATCAACCTCCTTTACTAGATTAACCCTCCTGTTGTGTTCGGGTCAAATCTGACCGATTTACTTCTTTCATCATAACTTTTTAGTTTTACATTTGATTACATTAAGGCTTTATGATATCCTTCACAGTAGACATTTGAACATATAAAATTGCTGATCACCACTTTCATTGTATTTTGGATGATTTAGTCAACTTTGTAACCCATGGTGTTCCCGGTCAAACACCCACCCACACACACACACACACACACACACACACCCACCCACACCCACACACACACATACACATACACATACACATACACATACACATACACATACACATACACATACACACACACACACACACACACATACACATACACATACACACACACACACACACATACACACTAGATGTGTTTTCCCCCCATGTGAATCTCACCTGGCACACACACACACACACACACACACACACACACACATACACACACACACACACACACACACACACACACACACACAGAACAATTTGACACATGTCCCACTCTTATGTGCCCATCCCCCCACATGGATCACACCTGGCACACGCAATACATGTTCAGTGTCTATTCTTTGTATATTTACTGCAGTTTTTCATGTATACCAGTAGTCTGATACAATATTTACAGTTTGAAATGGTGTTAAATTACATTTGGTGATGATTAATGGTTTGTGTGTTAATGTAATAGCAGTTAAAACAGGATCGGTCAAATTTGATCGCGAACACCAAAGTAAGGGGGGGAAACGAACACAATAGGAGGGTTAATGTGTTAGTGAAAATGTGCTGTATTTTTGTTTACACACTCTGCTTTGGAGTTGAAGATATTTGTCGCCCAGCCGTTGACAAAGCCTGGCTCTCTTGTGAACCACAGCACCACCAGCAGTGTGAAGAGACCCAGGACACTTATCTCTCCAAAGGACATGGGCCCCAGCCGACGGTGCTCCTCACGGATCACATTATAAGCAGCGATGTCCTTTTCTGTCTTCACAGCCCCACAACCCCACGTCTTCTTAAAGCTGGAGTGATCACATGGGGAAAAACCTTTGTGTCACTTTTACACTAAATCACACATCTGATGCGGTAAAAGTTTTTTGATGTTGAGTCAAGTCTCTGTCACTGTAATTAGGCTTTAACCATCATCAAACTCACTTAAATCCCATAAAGACAAACTGCAGCCAAAGCCAGGCCAGCGTGAGCATGATGATCATGTTAGGGAAGGCAAAGCCAAACCAGGAGGCAAAGTTAATCACATCTCCATTTTCAGGGAAGAGTCTAGGGAAAACAAAAAGAAGTGAGTGTATAATTTAATTGAAAAAAACATTAAAAGTAATGGAGCATGACTAAACACAGCTTTGAGTAAACACTCACTGGTTCATCTGGCCTTTGAGCACCAGATTGGGACCGGTTCCTGTCAGCGTGGCAGTGCCTCCAATGCTGGCAGCGTAACAAACACACAAGGTCATCCCTTTACACATTTTCATCTTTTCCTCTGCATCCTTACGCATGGCATCCTCTACTGCGGCATCCAATAAAGTCACCACCACGGGTCCTTCAAGGAGAGAGCAGCGAAAGAAAAGACTGCTAGAAACATAGTTGTATACGCATAAGAAGCTTGTGAGACTATACATTTTCCTCTTCCAAACAAAAAAAGGTAACAAATGGCTCACCTTGTCCCTCACTCTGCTTTTCTGCCTGTGGAGCCTGTTTGCTGTCAGTCTCTGATGTCTGCTCCGGCTCTTCTGAGCTGAGGATCTGAGGTATCTCGTCCTCACTGTTGTTGAGCTGCTGCAGCACTGCTTGCACAATAGGCACCATCATGGCTGTGGTAGCTGTGTTACTGATCCACATGGACAAGAAGGCTGTGACACCCATGAAGCCCAACATCAAACTGCCAGAAAGATAACCAAAAAATCATGTAAGTGGCCTTGGATTGGACAGAAAGGCCCTGTGTGTTTTACAAGACATAAAGAGGGACAAAGAGAGACTTTTATGGTGGCAATAAACAACTTGAAACATGTTACCGTAACTATATCAGCTGTTTGAAAAGATCGTTGGATAAACTATGGATTTGTAGATGTTAAATATAAAAAGCCAAACAGAATCTCCTGTGTAAGCTACTCACAGCGCTGGACGCACACCAACAAAGAGCAGCACCCTCAGGGCGATGCGCTTGTGCAGATTCCAGTGCTCCACGGCAACAGCAACCATCAGCCCCCCCACAAACAACAGGTTTGTGTCCTTCAGGTACTGCATACACACCTGGATCACACAGAGTCAGGTGTGTGTGAACATAAATGCATCCTTCCTGGGTAAATTCCACACACTTTTGCAGTTATCTTACTTACATCTTTGGATTGCATGATGCCAAACAAAGGGAAAAGGATGGCTGGGAGAAGAGCAGTGACTGCCAGTGGTAGGACCTCTGTGCACCAGTAAACTGCCATCATGATTATCACAAAGGCACATTCTGCTTCCTGCAAAAGAAACACATAAAAACATACTGGTTAATGAGCAAGCACGTTACAGTATAAGGTGTAAAGGCAGCTTATGGGATCAATTACTATTACATCATTTTTTCTGGGACATTATGGTGGTTCAAAGGGTAGAGATAAGCATGCGCGTTGTTCTATTGTTTTTTCTGGTCACCTTGTACATTTGCCAAGATCAAACTTCTGAGCTCTGTGGGATATTCATTTGTTATGTTTTATTGCGCTGCAGCAGAAAAATAAATATATACTGTATATATAAAGATTTTTTTTTAAAGGAGAGTACATTGGTTGCTTTTGTTGACTCTTATAAAACATAATTTGTCTTCAGCATTTTAAAGCAAGCAAAGATTCCCAAACTGTGTCTTTTATCGCTTAGAGACCTCATACTCTGTACCTTCCTTCACACTATGCCATTGTTCATGACTGCTTATTGAAGTCTATCACAACATGCTTACAGTCTTTGTGCATGCCTCTATGTGACATGAAGCAGTAGCAATGGGGACTGAGCCCTTTGACTCTGTGTTCCCACGCTGGACATGACCCTTCATGTTAACAACAACGAGTTAAAATAACAAAACTTCAGAGCAATGCAGCCTCAGGCAACACTGGACAGCTCTCATGCAATCTACTCCAAGTGCGCATGTTGTGCGCATCAAACAGGTGCAAGAGGGCACCATGCACATCAGATTCATTTTTTTTAAAGGGCATTTTTTAGGGAAAGCTACTTCTATGACGCGCTGAATTTAGTTCATTCATGTTTTAAAAATGAATGTAAAAATTTCCCAAATTCAACTTTTAAATCATGCATAATTAAATAAATGATGTGCTATATTTAGCAAAATAGCAACAATGTGATCCAACATTTCAATATATTGAAATGTAATCTTAAAATTGCTCCACTTTTATCAGTGTCAAAGTTAAATTGTAATTTATCGATCGTTTAAAAAAAGCCTTTACATACCGATGTCCCGATCACTAAAGGCAGTGGAAGAAGAAGTAATGGAGTTGAGAAAAGGATAATCTCATTCTTAACAGAGCGAAGATATTTGAAGAATGCCATCCTGAAGAAAAACGGAGAAAAGGAGGCTTTCGTATCATAGATCGAGCTTTTGAGGAGCTGAGTAGAGGAGGGGGAGTCTCACCGTATATAAAAGAGAGAGAGAGAGGGAGAGGCGAATCACAATGAAGAGACCGAGAGAGAGGGAGAGAGAGAGAGAGGGAGAGAGAGAGAGGGGGAGAGGGGGAGAGGGAGAGAGAGAAACAACCGAGTTCACTGACAACCAATGTTCTAAATTATAAGCAAACGTCACAAATTGCAACAAGTGGCTACTTCTGCAAACAAGAGTACACTTGATAACATGTTTTTTGTGGTAAAAGATGTTACTTCAGCTACACTAATCATATGGACAGGTTCAAAGGGAAATCAGAGGAATCCTTGTGGCCCTGTCGTCCGAACTGTGTCTCACTCACAATATTAACAATAATAATTAATCATACTCTACAGTGGATGTCATTTGAATCACTTTTTTACTTGGATGGACCAGCAATGGGGTTGTGAATTTAAGTAATATAATGTCTAATTACATTTCATTTGCAGATTTTACATTAATTTACAGTTGTAAATCGTTTTCAAAAAGGCTTGTGAAATGTTATTATTGTTTTAAAAAATATTTAAAAAATAGAAATGCTGCTGGGAGATAAGCTAACAATGTGTCTTCTTTGAGCAGCAGCATGTCGTTGCCTGAGAGACAAGAGCACCCACATTACAAATGTGTTGCAACTAAGTAGCTGCCATTTCAAAATGCTTGTATTTCTGTGTACTAAATGAAGTCATTACACTTCCTTCTGTGCGTTTCTGCTGACCTGAATACTTCAGCCTATCTACCTTTCACTAAAACAAACAACACCTCTCAGTATGTGTCTCCCAGAACACTGTGAATGTGTTAGTTTCAGATTTAAGATGGTCATTAAACTGCAAAAGTGAGTGTCCCAATAATAATAAATGGGACATTGGGGGAACTGTTTTGGTCTGCATAATAACCAACACTTCCCTAAATGATCAGTGTTTTAGCAGACTAGATTACATTAATTTATCATCTAATGTATGTAGTAATTTGTTTGCATTATGGTTTTAGAAAGATTTAAGTAACCCATAATGTGCAAGTATGCCCATTCTATAACAAATGAACAAACAATGACGTGAGAGTTGTGTGTTTGTTTGGTAACAGTTTGTTAACGACCATTGTATTTCCTCTCATGCCAGCGAAAAGCCTGGCTCCCTCAAATGTATTACAGTAATTTCTTTATAAAAACATTTAAATATATATATTTTTGTGGATTTCTGCATTGTGTTACTGACACAACTAACCCTTCTTAAAATGAAACTATAGTGTTTGTGTTGCTTTGTTTTCCTTTCATGACAAACGTTATACTTTTCTCTTTGATTCAAATGACTGTATGCATTATAATTACAGTAATAGACTTTGAATCCTTGAATTCATAGTGGCTTATGGGTGAGATGATTCACAACTTAAAAAAAGAATAGGGGGGACAGGAAATCCGTGTTGTAGTAAACTGATGGCTGGAAGTCATACTATTAAAAATAGAAAAAAACATTCTTGCAACTTGTGCCATCTTAGTTTTCCTTTTCGTTTATAAAACAAACTCTCAACCAATGAGATTTTGCTGGCAATAACTTGGCAACTATTTACAGGAAAAATTGTTTAGGGTTATCTTAAAGGTCCCATGTCATGGCCATTTCTACTGATCATAATTCCATTGTTGAGGTATACTAGAATCGATTTATATTGTGCAATTTTCCAAACTCACATTGGTTTCTCATACAGCATCTCTGTATGTGTATTCACTCTCTGTCGTAAACGGCCTGTTGGAGCTCCTGCACCCCCCCCCCCCCCCCCCCCCCTCCCTGTGAACCCACTGTGCTCTGATTGGTCAGCTCGCCCACTCTGTTCTGATGAGTCTACCACTATGGTCTACCACCGTTACAGCGGAACCAACCAGAAAATGACACCAGTAAAGACAAACAGATGAGAATGCTGCGTGGGGTCTGGGTGCCGTGTTGGCGGGACGTTGCGAGGCTAGCTGCTGCGAGGAGCGGACAGTGTGAGCTGGGTTCATTTCCTGCTTGCTGCGTGGGGTCTGCGAGACAGCGAGACATCGCGAATGGACGCGGGAAGGGGGGGATGCTGAGGGGGCTGCAGCACCCCCATCTGCGAGCTTCATAAAACCTTCATAACACACAAGGGGACGGGTAATAACCGGAAAAGCATGACATGGGACCTTTAAAGTGGTTAATAAAATTACCATGAGGAAGGAGGAAAAGCTAGTTGTGTTATGACGAGGGATAGCATGGTGTGCTGAAAATGGCTGCCTGATACCTGATTGCACTCTTCAAACCAAAAAGTAACTGAATCTGCTTTTGTAGACATCCAACAAATTAATAAGTCCAATTGACTGTATAGAAAATGCAACCTTGTTGGCAGAAGAAACACCATTTTAACACTTTAATTTAAATGTGATGAGTTGGGGGTAGGCCTATACAGTAAGTGACAAATATTTTCATTAAAAAAAAACACAAATATCTGTCATTTATAAGTTATAACTTGAGCTCCACATATGTTTGAGTTTTAAAGGTCATCAAAGGTCACTTCAGGTCATTTTCTCAGCCTACGGAGAATCATGTTTTCCTTCTTGTGAATTTATAAGATGGCAGTCAAATTATTTTGAATAATGTGTACAATACAATGGTACGTGTGAAATGTATTGCAGGGGTAATGAAATGCACTGACATATTTTGAAATACAATGCGGAGTACGATTAATTGTGTCCACTTTCTGTGCATGTAAGTCTATGCCATTTAAGGGAATTCTTCAAACCAAAACCAAAGCTGTGCTTGGGACGTTAAACTTGGCTGGCAGTACTATACAACTACTGAATGCAGACCTCAGAGAATAACTAAAATGCTGAGCAAAGGAATGTCATGTTCTTTGGCTGTATCTTTTCTGTAAAAGTGCTGACAGTAATTATGCTACATTGGCAGTATGCTCAGATAAGTGAAGCTTTTAATTTGTGTCCCTGTAATTGAGAGTTTAGTTTGGGTTTTCAACATTCATGCCTCGACACAAGTGTTACCCATTGTGAAGACATCCAAAATGTGTTATCCAGAAAGTCCATGTTGGCCTTTCACTATAGTAGATCATTGCAAACTGAGAGGCATACGTAGGTTGACATTCTTATGTTCATATTCATTAAGTTAACTGCAACATTAAACATAATATAATTAATATCTTAAAATCTAGAGGAAAAATACCAATAATAAATTGTATGAATAGAATGTATTTGCATTATACTGTGTAATACATATCATACTCTTTTCTGAAGAAAAAGAAACACAGAAACAAATCCATTTTATTCATTATCTGTCAAACACAGTTGGCCAACTGCCATAACTTATGTCATGTTGTGTCAAAAGATAACAGTAGGGGCAGTGGTTTTTAGGGAAATTGAAAAAGATTGAGTCAAATTTGAGGGATTCAAACAAAAGAAAGAAGATGAGATGAAAGAAAATGAACATAGGATATATTTCTGAACAAGACTGCTGAGCTTTTTGTCTGTGAAATGACAGACATAACGCCATCTTGTGGAGATGACTTCCACTACATCCCAGTTAAGCATACATTACATTACATTGCATTTAGCTGACGCTTTTATCCAAAGCGACTTACAATAAGTGCATTCGACCAAGAAGATACAAACTTGAAGAAAACAGAATCATATAAATACATCAGGTTTCATAGAGCCAAAACATTTCAAGTGCTACTCAACTGGCTTTAGATAAGCCAGTCCTTTATTAGTATATAAGTACTTTGTTAGTAATTCTATCGCTCGAAGTGGAGTCGAAAGAGATGAGTTTTCAGTCCGCGCCGGAAGATGTGTAGGCTTTCTGCTGTCCTGATTTCAATGGGGATTTCAATGGGGAGCTCATTCCACCATTTTAGATAGATAGATAGATCGTACTTTATTGATCCCAAATTGGGAAATTGTTTTTGTTACAGCAGCATAAAAGGCATTTTTTACAATAAAACAAAATATACAAGAATAGAAATAAAATAAAATAAAATATAAAATATAAAATATACATGTCGAAATAGAAAATATACATGCAGATATTATATATATATATACAAATATATATATATATATATTCAAAATATATGGAATATGGAGTATTAAATATGAAACAGATTATGTATGAGTAAAATGTACAACGTGGTTTTATTTCTAGAGAAACTATGGAGCAGAGAGTTCTCTTCCAGCCAGAGGTGATTTGTTGTACAGTGTTATTGCAGTGGGCAGGAATGTTTTCCAGTATCTGTCCTTGTGACTGGGGAGCTGCAGCAGTCTGTTGGAGAAGGAGCTCCGTTGACTGTCCAGCTGCAGGTGGAGAGGATGGGTGGGGTTATCCATGATGGACAACAGCCTGTTCAGTGTCCTCCTCTCCACCACAGCTTCAAAGGGTTCCAGCTTGATGCCGATGACTGACCCAGCTTTCCTGATCAGTTTATTGATCCTGCTGGTGTCACCGGCTCTTATGCTGCCCCCCCAGCAGACCGCAGCAAAGAAGAGTGCACTAGCCACCACAGACTGATAGAAGATCTCCAGCATCTTGCTGCATACGTTGAAGGATCTCAGCTTCCTCAGAAAATAGAGTCTGCTCATCCCCTTCTTGTACACAGCGTCAGTGTTGATCCTCCAGTTCAGCCCATTGTCTAAGTGCACTCCCAGGTACTTGTAGACCTCCACAACTGCCACATCCTCTCCTAGAATGCACAGGGGCAGAGGAGGAGATGTCCTCTTCCTCCTGAAATCAATGACCATCTCTCTGGTCTTGGCCACATTCAGAAGCAGATGATTTCTTCCAGTCCACTCAACAAAATCACCCACCAGCGCTCTGTACTCCTCCTCCCGTCCATCCCTTATACACCCTACCACTGCAGAGTCATCCGAAAACTTCTGCAGGTGGCATGACTCTGAGTTGTATAGAAAGTCAGAGGTGTATAAGGTGAACAGGAAAGGAG